TTTAAAAATGTTTTTATTGATATTTATAGAGGGAGATTTAGAAACATCAATGTAAGAGAGAAACATCTATTGGCTGCCTCCTGCATGCCCCCTACTGTGGAATCGAGCCGCAACCAAGGCATATGCCCTGATTGGGAATTGAACCAGAACCTCTCAGTCCATGTGATGGTGCTCAATCCACTTAGCCACATTGGCTGGGCTCAATAGCATTCTTTTTTTTTAATCCTCACCCGAGGATATTTTTCCATTTTTTGTTCAGGTAGAGTGGGAGGGAGAGAGAGGAAGGGAGAGAGAGAGAGAAACATCGACGTGAAGGGACACATCAAGTGGCTGCCACCCGCACGACCAACCAGGGCCGGGGACAAACTGCAACCGAGGTATGTGCCCTTAGTGGGAACCGAACCCGGGTCTCTCTGGACCGCAGGCCGATGCTCTAACCGCTGAGCCAAACTGGCCAGGGCTCAATAGCATTCTTAAATAAAACAATGAAAGCTCTAATTCAGAATGGCTATAAAATAGGAGTAAACTAGAAATGCTTTGTTGGTAAATACAAAAGAAGATTGTTAAATATTGGAGAGACATAGGTCTGAATGGGAAAACTAAAATCAGGTAAAGATAACTGCTCTCCAAATCTATTTGTACCGTATTTAAATTCATGTTCTGGATGCTTTTACAAGTTTCAGACATATTACAAACAAAAGAATAGTATTAAACTCCAAATGGGGGTGTTTGTGGTGGGGCTGTGGAATCACAGATCCTGTGGGAAGTGACAGGACAACGGGGACTGGGGACAAGTACAACTACCTATTCAAAGTGGTGCCTATCTGGGACTCCATTGTTGGGAAGAGCAACCTGCTGTCCTGCTTCACCTGCATTGAGTTCAACCTGGAGACCAAGAGCACCACTGGCGTGGAATTTGCCACCCACAACATCCAAATGGACAGCAAGACCATAGGTGCAGATATGGGACACGGCCCAGGCTACCACACCATCACCTCTACTTACTATCGCAGCACAGTGGGCACACTGCTGGTGTATAACATTGCCAAGCACCTGACATAGAGAATGTGGAGCACTGGCTGAGGAGCTAGGGGACCAGGCTCACAGCAACATCATCATGATGCTGGTGGGTAACATGAGCAACCTATGCCACCTGAGGGCCTTGCCCACTGATAAGGCCTATGCCTTCTCAGAGAACAACTTATCCTTCATTGAGCTCAATCTTGGACACCACCAATGTAGAGGAAGCTTTCAGGAACATCCTCACAGAGATCTACTGTGTCATGGTATCAGTCTCTAGGCAACAACATGGTGGACATCAGTGTGCTGCCCACTACCAAAAGACAGAAATTGAACAGTCTGCAGTACTGCCAGAACTTGCACCTCATCCAAGTGTGCATGCACATCCTCAATCTTCACCTGCCCTTCACCATGATGTCCTCCATGATCCCTCCCTCCCATTGAGCTCCACACAGTCAGCTGGGGTGTAGGAAGAAGCAGGAGTCAAGCAGCACCTCCTGTCCCCCCTACCCCAGGAAAGCTTGAAGCTCCAGCTGCTGCACCTGCTCTTCTTGGGTCCCAGTGGCCCTCCGGATGGGGCAAGGAGGATGGCAGAATGGACAGAGCTAGCCAGAAGCAAGAGGATGGGCACACTGAGCAGGCTTCTGTTTTCCACAGTAGACTCTAGGGAGCAGTTTCCTCCTTCCCTCTGTGGCCAGTTGTCCCAGCTGCCCCTGGTCTCCACCCAGAATACCCATCTGTGCTCAAGCTTGAAGAGAAGTAAGGTGTGGTGAGCTCCTGGCATCCTACTCCCCATGCACAGCTAGCACTGGCACACACCTTTGACTTTGGCCTCTCCCAAGCATGTGTGAATCCAGCTCCTGCCTGTAGATTTATGCTGGTAGAAGACACCTCCCCATTCCTTTTTGTGTGCAGCACACCCCCCACCCTTCCCTATGCCCTTTTCTCTTTGTTTCCCTGTGTGGTCAGGAACCTGTTTGCAAGTGAAACAGTATCTCAGTGTTTTCTATATACAGTCACTCTTGTAGCCTTTGTTTTTTAGGTACTGTAGAAAAACACTTAGTAAGATTGATGCAAAACAAAAAAAAAAACAAACTCTCCAGATGTATGAGTTAAATGTAAAAAGAAGTAATACAAAAAATGGCCAGAAAACACAATAGAAATTGATGAGTTTTTGAAAGACTGATTTTTTTTTTTCTCCTCATTTTGAGTTATAGAGGAAGACTTCAATTTAAAAAGATTTCATTGCCTTTTTTAAAAACATGCAAACTGCTGCCTTGGCCAGTTTGGCTCAGCGGTTGGAGCATCAGCCTGCAGACCAATGAGTTGCTGGTGCAATTCCAGTCAAGGGCATGTATCTCAGTTGCAGTTTGTCCCTGGCCCTGGTCAGGGTTGTGCAGGAGGCAACCAGTCGATGTGTCCCTCTCATGTTGATGTTTCTCTCTCTCTTTCTCTTTTTCTCTTTCTCCCTCCCTCCCACTTTATCTGAAGGTAAATGGAAAAAAATGTTCTCGGGTGAGGATCAAAAAACAAACAAACGTGCAAGCTGCAGATTTAATTCAACCTATTGAACACACGTTAACAATATTGAATATAATTAACAATGTCTTAGTTTTCCCAACCTATTGTGAGTATATTAGGCTAAAGAAGATGCCTTTAGCCCCAGCTGGTTTGGCTCAGTGGTTAGATAGATCATCAGCCCTTGGACCAAGGGATTGAGGGTTTGATTCCTGTCAAGAGCATGTACCTAGGTTGCAAGTTCAATTCTGGCCCTGGTCGGGGTTGTGCAGGAGGCAACCAATCAATGTGTCTCTCTCACATGATGTTTCTTTCTCTCCTTCCCTTCCACTCTATTTAAAAATCAATGGAAAAATATCCTTGGGTGAGGATTTAAAAAAAAAAAAAAGCCTCTAAATGAAAGAGTAAGAGGTATAATTAATAGTTATTTTACCAGTATTAGAAAAGTCTTTTTAATATATTTCCCCAAAATGGAAAAATTGATGTCTAATGATGGATAACAAATCCCTTCACAATTCAGGATGATTTCCACTTCTGCACTTTTAGCAAAATTGAGGATCTAATTGAGTTGTCAGCTGTTTGATCACAAAACTAATATTTGAAGATGTGGCACTGTGGGTTTGGCATGTAAAGTGGAAATAAAAGAATTGAATGACAGTTTCATGGCAAAATTTGCTCCAATTTCATCTATTTATATATGAACAGATTCTCAGAGCTCACACACACAAAAAAACACACATTAGAGTTGATGCTGAACCCAGCAATAAATATTACTTATCCACAGAAACATGAAATAAAATGTTTAAATCCTCTACTTCATTAACAAGATTTTTAATTTTGTTGTTTAAAATTTACAATATATTTATATTTTGCTTTTGATAAACTATATAGTGTTAATAATAATTATAGTAGTAATTCAATCCAGAAGGAAAAATTTTACCTCAAAGGATGAAATTACATCAGTAAAAGATATTCAACTATAGAAGTATTTTACCTGAAAATATTCTGTGATGAAGGTGAAATGGAAATAAAAATTTAAGAAGAAAGAATGATATAAAATCAGATAAATATATATATATATAAAACAGTGGATGGTATTAGATATCAGTAATTTTGATATTTTCTTTAGATATATCCATTATTTTAAAATGTCAGTATTTATAATATACCAGAAGTCAACTGTTTGCAACTATTTAAATTTGAAAGAATTTAGATGTGAATTTAAAAAATATATATTTCATCAATAGTTATTGATGGTTTAGAATTTGTAATATATAAAATTTTTTAAATTTATAAAAGTTTCAGCCTAATGGTTTGTAATAAAGTGTAAAATATAGCTACAATGAGAAACCATTTTACTTATTAAATATTTTATATGATATATAATGCTGGCAAGATTAGCTAAAATTGTTACATGTTGATGATTGTATTGAAATTGCTAAAGCTTCTTTGGAAAGCATTATGATAGTTTATATCAAGAGCTGTGATGAAAATTGGCATATGCTTTGACCCAGAATTTTCATTATCCTCAGGGAATAATTAAAAGGAATAATTAAACAGAATAAGTCCATTAGTGTGAGACTGCTAAATCCAGCAGAGATTCACATTCCAGGTTTAGGATCAGCCACATATTTACCCTTTACTTTATTCTCAGTGTTGCCCAGGGTTTAGGGGTCTCTTGTCACCCTACCTAGTCTTTATAATCTGTTATTTTACAGTTTTTTTGGAAGTATAATATAAATACAGAAAAGTCTACAGATTATAAGTGTACAACTCAGATTTTCACAAAATGCACACAGTTGTTTACCACCCAAAATTGACTTTTTAGCACCGCAGAAATTCCTCTTGTGTCCCCTGCCCAGTCAGCATTTCCCTTCCTCCCCCCAAAAGGTCACTATTAACTTCTACCATAATTTTAGTGGTTGTAGTAATCACTTTAATACCCAAATAATAATCTGTTGTGTGACTGTATTATGTCTTTTCTATTTTGGGGCATTTTAATTGTTTATGGTTTTTCACTATATAAGACATTATAATATTGTGATATTTAATGTAGTGAGAACCTAGAAGTAACTCATCTTACCATTCACTTACTAGCCTAAAGATTATGAGTGGTACCATTTAGTATTTATATCCTTCTTCCACTGGTACTTAGCTCAATGCTCTACACAATATAAGCTTAATATAAACTTACTCAGTAAACAAACATGAAGTCTTTCAGTATTGTCCCATTCATTTCTTTTTTTTCATGTAAGAAGAGAACTGTGTGCTTGCATTGTGGGATATGGAAAGGTTTATTACCACCCTCAATAAGAGTAGAAAAGGAATGTTGGTGACAATTATCTGGCAGTTCTCAGATTTGTGATTTTCAAGGTTATTTTATGAGAAATCAAACTTGTTTCCCCCCCCCCCTTGATGTCATATCCCTCAAAAGTTATTAAATTCTCTCTCTGTTTCAACAGTCAATGACAGTAATCCTGAGGATGAAGATCATAGAGAAGAGTCTTCAGATTGTGATGAAATGGATTGTTCCATGGTCTCTGAGCAACCTCCAGAATGCCATAGAGAAAGATTAAATATATCAATTCCAAATGAAAGGAAAATGAGAAATCTTTTAGTTACCATTGAAAATGATACTCCATTAGAGGAACTTTCAAAATTTGTGGATATCAATATTATTGCACTGACCCGAAATCGGAGAACAAGAAGATGGTACACTTGTCCACTGTGTGGGAGACAGTTTAATGAAAGTTCTTACCTTATTTCCCACCAGAGGACTCATACTGGAGAAAAACCCTATGACTGTAGTCACTGTGGGAAAAGCTTCAATCATAAAACAAACCTTAATAAACATGAACGAATCCATACAGGTGAGAAACCTTATTCATGTTCAAAATGTGGAAAAAATTTTCGTCAAAATTCTCATCGTAGTCGCCATGAAGGAATCCATATAAGGAAGAAGATATTTAAGTGTCCAGAATGTGGGAAAACCTTCCCAGAAAACAAAGAATTTGTACTTCATCTGCAGAGTCATGTGACTGAGAGGCCGTATGGTTGCAAAAAATGTGGGAGAAGATTTGGTCGTCTGTCAAACTGTACCCGACATGAAAAAACCCACTCAGCATGTAAGACACGAAAGCAGAAGTGGGATCGGGAAAGGTCAGATGGTCCTGCCTAACCTGAAATGTTTCATAAGGAGTTCTGAATTCCCAGGCTGTCTCAAAAGATACAGGTAGATATGTGAAAACTTCATCATAGCCCCAGTTGAATAAAGACCCATCTTGGCTGAAACCTCAAAATTTTAGAAAATTCACAGGGAAGAAAATATCCTCAAGGTCTATACCTCAATTAGCATCCAGGCTTTTGGGACTAAGGAGCTTTCCTTTGTGAACAATGTACAGGTCACAGATTCCTTTCCCAAGAAGACTTCAGATATGAGTCTGGAGGCTGTTTACCTGCAAAATGAACAGTAATTCTTGTGTACTGAAAGTATATACATTTTTCTACGACATATGAATTCACACTTGAGAAAAGAGAAATAATGCAAAGATCCTTTTCTGGACTGGTATTCATTCCCCTGAAAGACCCAAACTACTGATTTGTTAAGCCAACCACTTCTGTTAATTTGTATAGCCCTCTTGAGAACACCCTGTTAACGCTTCAGTATTGAAAGGGATTGTTTGCTTTGGAATATAGGAAAATACAGGAATTGAATATCAAAGGCTTATTGTTATTTGTGATCTAAACTATCAATTTTAGTAATGTTTGCAATTTATGGTGAAAAGTGACTGCTTTACAAAAATCCTTTTCACAGCATAATTTAATGTCTTAAATTCAGCTAGTAATTGCTCAAACAGCACTTAGATGCCTTTCCCTTGCCCCAAAAGAAATTTGAATTGCTCAGGTCCAGCCACTACTAGAATAGCTCTTCAGAATCTTGTTCCTTTGCTGAGCCGAGAAGACTTACTAGGAAAGAAACACCAACAGGCTGCAAAGGAAGAGAAACACATTGATTTGGATCCATGGTTGCTCAATAACTACCATATGCTTAATTCCTCTCTAAGCAGTTATCAGACCTTTGGCAATGGGTGGTCACTACCTCACAAGCAGTGTTTTATTTGTAGAAATTATGTCACCAGTGGCTAGCTCACATTGTCCCTCAAGAGACAGGATTCCAATGTTTTTATTGTAGTAGATATTTGTTCTCTGGCCTCCTGATATCCAGACTTTCCTGACTTGTCTTCCCAAAGGCAAGGCCAGTGATGCCTTCATGGGACCAATCCTATGGTGTGTGATTTTAAGGATTCTTGATCAGTTTTGTTCTTTTTAGGTTTCCCAAATTTTTACATGGTATTTTTATTGGAATAAGTTAATCCTTTAAACTATTTGGGAAATTTTGTTTTATATCCAGAACCATGCCTTTTCACTATTTTATTTTATTCCTGAGTACATTTTTCTCATTTTTTTATTGTAAATAGTTTTTTATTATGTTTTTCTGGTTATTGCTCTTATATAGGAAAATTATATTTAAGTATATATTTGTGAAACTAGCCACCTCACTGAATGTTCTTAATTTTCAGTAATTTCTCAGTTCTATAATTTGTGGTTAAAAATTATACCATCTACAAATAATAGTTTTGTTCCTTTCTGCCTATTGCTCTTTTTTGTTATTTTTTTAAACATGTAGCTCTAAGCTTTGTTTTGGTGTGAAATATTTTATGATACAGTGCAGTCCTGAGTCCTACTTAAAAAACAACAAAAAACACTTAAAGACCACAGAAAAATTTCCTTTAGCAACTTTGTATTTCAAGCCTACAGTATTCTTTAAAACCAGGGACAAAACTTGCTACCAGTATTATTCTCTTATTCCTCCAGAAGTCTTGCCAGGGTTCACCAATTATTGCACAGAGGACTAGCCTGTACACCTTGAGTACTTAAAGGCTGCGTGCTGCAGGGCAGTGACTGGAGAAGGTGGGATCCCCATTATGAGATGATCATGTCTCAGGCCCAAGGTTCAGGCCACATTGTCCCAAAGGCATGTGGGTGGGTGATACTCCTATGACCTAAATAACCTCCTTGTACCTGGGAGGTTCCATCTGTGTCCTGGGCCTCAGTATGTGTGAGGGCCAGTGCAGTCAGGGTCGTAGGTGCCTACTGTCCCCAGGGGGTAGTGCCTGGACCAGCCCAACTTTTTTCATGCCTTCACCCTTGCCAGGAGCACAGGGTCAGGATGCCCCCAAATGCAGAGAGCACCAGAAAACTCTTAGATGAATAAGTGCTTAATAAGAAGCCCAACAACCAGTTAATGGGAAAACATAACATGTCAATGAATGGCTTTTCAGTAGAGCAGCAAAGGCCAGTTAGAAAATATGAAGGACCAAAAATCTGATTCCAATAACTCAAAGCATGGACCTCCTGAAGACACAGCTGCACGTCCTGGGTTTTAAAGGGGAGCAACGCACTCATGGAGTTTCCTATGGTGGGGCTGGGGCACAGATTTAGTAAACCTGAAATGTGTATGCAGCTGCACAGTGTGACAAGTGCTAGGAAGGAAATGGACTCTAGGATAGTGTTACAGGTGGGTTTTCCAGAGAGGACACTAGGGAAGTGGCATTTAAACAGACCCAAAGGATGAGATGGGGGAGGAAGGAGGGTAGTGTGGGGTGTTCCAATAACAAGACATGAACAGATAGTTTTTTTTTTAATCCTCACCCAAGGATATTTTTCTGTTTTTTGTACAGATAGAGTGGGAGGGAGAGAGAGAGAGAAACATCGACGTGAAGGGACACACATCGAGTGGCTGCCACCCGCACGACCAACCAGGGCCAGGGACAAACTGTAACCGAAGTACGTGCCCTTAGCGGGAACCGAACCCGTGTCTCTCCGGACCGCAGGCCGACGCTCTAACCGCTGAGCCAAACTGGCCAGGGCGAACAGATAGTTTTTAGATAAAAATGAATGGCTGAAAGAACTATGAATGTTCAACCCTACTAGTAATCTAAGTGTCATAAATTGAAAGGACAAGATGTATTTTAAATGTATTAAATGAGCAGGTTTGTGTGTGTGTGTGTGTGTGTGTGTGTGTGTGTGTGTGTTGTGTATGCTTGGCTTGGCAAAAGAGGAATAATAGCATCCATCCACTGTAATAAGAGTGTTAAAAAAATTACTCCTTGCCATGGCCAGTTGGTTCAGCGGTTAGAGCGTCAGCCCATGGATTGAAGGGTCTTGGGTTTGATTACTGGGCATGTACATGGGTTGCAGGTTTGATCCCCAGCCCTGGTCCGGGTCGTGCAGGAGGCAACCAATCAATGTATCTCTCACATCAATGTTTCTCTTACTCCCCCCACCCCCACCCCTTCCATTGTATCTAAAATTCAATGGAAAAATATCCTCAGGTGAGGAATAACTAAAAAAAAAAGTACTTTTCACTGGGTCTTGCCTGTCTTTCCATTTTCACTTGAGCCCACTCCAGCTTCACATTTAACTCCAACACCACTGAACATTTATAGGACACCTCACCCAGCAACAGAGGAATATCCATTCTTCTCAAGCTCACATGAAACATCACCAAGATAGACTACATCTGAGTCGTGAAACACCTTAGCAAATTTAAAAAGAGACATCATACAAAGTATGCTCTCATCACAATGAAATTAAATTAAAAATAATAGAGTGATAGCCAAAAATCTCAAAATATTTGGAGATTTAACACTTCTAAGTAACAAATGGGTCAAATAAGAGAAATTTTTTTAAAATGGAAATGCAAATTGTCAAAATCTGGGGTGCAGTGAAAGCAATGCTTAGAGGGAAATTTACAGCATTTGGATGCATATATTAGAAAAGAATCTTAATTTTAAGTTTCTACTTTAAGAGCTACAAAAGAAGAAATTAAATCCAAAGTAAACAGAAGAAAAGATGTAATAAAAATTAGAATACAAATCAATAAAATTTAAAACAAAATCAATAGAGAAAAATCAAAAGCTGGTTCTTTGAAAAAATCAATACAATTGGTAACTTCCTAGTCAGACTGACAACAAAGGAATGAAGACACAAATTACTGCTATCAAAAATGAAAAAGGCGCCATCACTATAAATCCTATGGATATTAAAAGAATAAGGAATTATTATAGCCCTGGCTGGTTTGGCTCAGCGGCTAAAGCATCAGCCTGCGGTCCCGAGAGACCTGGGTTCAGTTCCCGCTAAGGGCACGTACCTCGGTTGCAGTTTGTCCCCGGCCCTGGTTGGGTTGTGCAGGTGGCAGCCACTCGATGTGTCCCTTTCACGTCGATGTTTCTCTCTCTCTCTCTCCCTCCCACTCTATCTGAACAAAATATCAAAAAATGTCCTCGGGCGAGGATAAAAAAAAAAAATTAATTAAAAAATATATATATATTATGAACAACTCTGTACCCATAAATTTGATAACTGAGATGAAACAGACCAATTCATTGAAAAACAATCTACCAAAATTCAAATAAAAATAATCCAAATAGGTCTGTACTAATTAAGCAGTATGAATAATTAATAATCTTCCAAAACAGAAAGCAATGGGCCCAGATAGTTTCACTGCTGAATTCTATAAAAACATTTAAAGAAGAAATTATGCCGATTCTCTACAATCTCTACCAGAAAGTAGAAACAAAAGGAACACTTCCTAATTTATTTCATGAGCCCAGCATTACCCTAATACCAAAACAAGACAAAACCATTACAAAAAAAGGAAAACTACAGACTAATATCTCATAAACGTATATGCAAAAATCCTCAAAATATCAGCAAATTGAATCCAACAGTGTATAAAAATTATATACCAGGAACAAATTAAATTTATTTCAGGTATGCAAGATTGACTTGACATTTGAAAATTAATTAATGCAATCCATCATATCAACAGGCTAAAGAAGAAAATGATATAATCATCAGATGTAGAAAAAGCATTTGGCAAAATTCAACACCCACTCATGATTAAAAAAGAAAAATCAGCAAACTAGGAATAGAGGGGAACTTCTTCAACTTGATAAAATCATACACAAAAACTTTCGCCAACATAATGATCAGAAACTAGATGCTTTCCCACTAAGACCAGGAATAAGGAACAAAATATCCCCTCTCACCACTCCTATTCAACACATTCTGAAATTTCTAGCTAATACAATAGGATAAGTAAAGGAACAAAAAAGTATACAGATTTGAAAAAGAAGAAATGGAAATGTCTTTGTTTGCAAAGATGAATGTCTATGCAGAAAATCCCAAAGAATAGACATAAACAACAACAAAATTCCTGGAACTCAAACAATTATAGAAAGCTATCAGGATACAAGACCAATCTACAGAAGTAAATTGCTGTCAGATGATCCAGCAATTCTACTTCTGGATATATAGCAGTGAGCAGTGGAATGTGAAATAAAAAATACTAAACTATTTCCATTAGTACACCCCTCCAAAAGTTTAGGTATAAGTCTAACGAAATATGTATGAAATCTATACAGGGAAAACTACAAAACTTGAAAGCAACCCTGGCTGATTTGGCTCAGCATTTAGAGTGTCGGCCTGTGGACCAGAGTGTCCCGGGTTCAGTTCTGCTAAGGTAGCAGTTCTCAACCTGTGGGTTGCAACCCCTTTGGGGGTCAAATGACACTTTCACAGGGGTCACCTAAGACCATCAGAAAATACATATTTCCAATGGTCTTAGGAACCAAGACACCGCTCCTCTATCCAT